AATAAAGATGTATGTTTAGAACTTGAAACATGCGGAACCATGAAAATAAAATGTGGCCCACTACTTAAATAGCCAAGTGTGAAAATTCTGATGTCTTGCTTTCCAGCCTATTCATTTGCTTCTGCTATGCTTCCTGAGTGTTTAGTAACACACATACACACACACACACACACCTCTTACCTCTTTTTTTTTTTGTCCATTCAACATGGGAGGATTTCCCGTATCATTAAAATATTTTTTAAAAGATTTTATTTATTATTTATTCATGAGAGACACACACACAGAGAGAGAGGCAGAGACACAGGCAGAGGGAGAAGCAGGCTCCCTACAGGGAGCTTGATGTGGGACTTGATCCCAGGACTCCAGGATCACGTCTTGAGCCAAAGGCAGAGGCTCAACTGCTGAGCCACCCAGGTGTCCCTCACTGAAATATTCTTAAAAACGTTTGTGTTCCGTGTCACATACACGTTAACAATAGAGACAATAGGACATCAAAAAACAACATGCTTTTCAGGGCCCTCCCACATGTGATCATTCCAATCCTGTGGGGGATCCGGGGCTGGAAATGCTCCCAACTTCCAGCTGGGGAACCCATAGCCCAGAGACGGGAAGGAACCTGGGGTACTTTACGATTACAGACTAAGTCACATCAGTGTTGGGGTCCTCCTTAAGGAAAAGAATAAAAACATGACTCTTGGAAATTTTACTAAAATACGTGATCCTGTACATAAATTGCTTTGACCCTTCCCAGGGCCATGAAAAGATCATGTGCACATAAAGGGTACAGAAACTTGGACTTCACCTGCTTCAAGGCAAATCTGCCTCCGCTTGGGCAAACGACTTAACTTCCCTTCATCCGCAAAATGGGGACAAGAGAAGAATCTACCGAAGTGGTTTAGAGGATTACACAAGATGGCACGTTGTAAAGCATTTGGTAAACTGCCTGGCACACAGTGAGTGCTCGATAAATCTTGCCTGTGATTACTCAAAGTCATGTAGTTGTGGCTGGAGTCATTCGGGCTGCTTCCCAAAGACAGTTATTCACATACATACTTAAGAAAATTACACCTGGAGCCTTTTCAGCCTGGCTTACTCATTCATTTAATAAACACCGATGGGGTTCCTACTAGATACCATGTGCCACACTAGGCACTAATCTCAATTCTCACACCTCGTTTTTCTGAAAGCACAACACAAACGTCCCCACCTCTGGGAAGCCTTCCCAGGACTCCAAGCAGACCTGCTACTCTCTGGGCACTCATCCCTGCCGTGTAACTGGCTTTGCACACGAGCAGGGCTCCAGGGGAAAGGACCCCCCCCCCCCCGCCATGTTCATTTCTGTACCATCAGCACTTTCTTGGGTGCCTGTAGTAAGGTATGTAGATACTCAATAATGTGAAGTGAGTTGACTGAAAGTGTGCTTGTTTTCCCATGAGGATTTTAGCTGCTTTTGCCAGCTTTTCAGTTTGCAAAAGTGAGAAGGCTGTGAGCAAAATAGTTTGAGTTCTTTGGAAACCAGTACGAGATGGGCCCATTGTTTATCTTGGTTGTTTTGAGTGACTTTACCTTTTCTTATTTTATAACAACTGAAATTCTCTATAATGTTACCAGATCACGCTCTTCAAGCTTCTGTCTTGCTAAAATAATAATAATAATAATAATAATAATAATAATAATACAGCCACATCAGGGAAGTCCTTAGGGAATGTGTCCTGTATCAGGAAAAGCAGTTAAGCTCTGAGGTCCTAAAAGAGCCTGGGAAAGTCTAGCCAAAAACTGTGGAGTTGGGTTGTATTACCTATTTTAAAACAGAACTGGACTTCGCAAGTTTTATCAGGTCTTGGCTTATTAAATCCATTCACTGAGAGTTAATTTTTCCAGATTGTAACTTGTACGATGGCATTCAAGTGTCAGAAAATACCCTGACCAGTCAGTACTGAACTGAGAAGGTAAGAAGAGGCTGTAGGTAAAGCACCAATCTACCTATATGTTTGCTTAGTACTTTGTAATTTACAATGAGTTAGCTTTCACCATCATTATCCATCTGCTAAAACAACCCCCTGAGGTAGGTGGGAAGCTGGATGCTGGCCTCTCTTCGTAGGGTAGGAATGCTGAAGCAGGGCTCCACTGGGAATCAGATCCGGGAATCGTCATAGCTCCTGCTACCATGTCCATCATTTCAATTTCGTGGGTGTCTTCAGAAAACGATGCCATGTTTGCATAAGTTTTACTGAAGCATTCTGGTCTATGGAGTGTAACCCCAGGCTACAAGGAATGTCATAGGCTCCTTGGGGTTGGCAGCTTTTCATGAATTCCTACGTTCAAAGTTTCAGCTCATCCTCCATGTGCGTTAAGACGTGTGATTTCATTGGACATGTGTAAGTAGAGCCAGGTACAGTTCCTGCCTCCATGATCAGGTCGTGGAGAAAGATACCTGTCACCTATGCAAAGTGTCACAGTCACCTTCTTGGAGATGACCCAGGGATTCTGAAGCATGCAGCCTTCCTATCTGAAATCCCAGCACAGCAGGTAGCAGGAGAGGATGTGTGCAGGCCCATTCCTCAGCACAAGCAACGCTGGGGCGGAGGGCCCCCCCCCTTCACCTGTGTACAGGCCTCACCAGCACTGGATGGCTGAGCAACAACTTTATTTTCACCGTGTTATTCGAAGAAAGAAACCTCAGTTGGCCCAATAGGGAGGCTGATACATTCCTAGAAACAGAGCTGAGAGGCCAGCAACAAGCCTGTTGTGCTGGCAAGATGCAAATACCTGGGCCTCCGGAGTGCTTTTCCTGCCTGCCCTGGTGCTGTCGGGCCCTGAGTGAGGCGCCTGGACCAGCCAGGACCCTCTCCACCCTCCAGGCACTCCCTCCTCATCACAGATTAGTGGGGCTTGAGTCCATAAACCAGGTCAAAAGACAAGATTCCTCCGCTGGAGTTCTAGGTGGTGGCTCTCTGGGAGGACTCAGCACCCTCCCCCACCCCATCCATCATTCCCTTTGAAGAAACACACACGCACACACTCAGGCGCAGGGAAGCGGACATAAACATCCTGAGGAAATAACTACTGGAAGTGGCTTCGAAGCCTCATTTCCCCGAGGAAATAATCAGCACCTCTTCCCCAAGACAGCTCCAGGTGAGCCAGAAGGGAACACCTTCCCGCGCTCCCAAGTGAATGAAGGCAGCAGCCTCACTGCCCGACGGCCAAGCGCGTTCGCGTCGGCTGTCACCGTCAGTTCTCCGAACTCGCGAGCTGGCCACGGCAGGCACGAGTTCCCCCACTTTACGCACGGCACACGGAGGCCCGGGCGCTCACGCTCCTGCCGCAAGGAGCGAGCACCGGGGAGCCCCCGCCCGCGCGCCCCGAGCTCGCCCCGCGGCCCCGCCGGGTCCCCCGAGTGGGCCGGTCCGCGGCGGCGGCCACATGGCCCCATTGTCCCGGGCGGGAACCCGCGGCCCCGGCCGCCCTGCGGAGCGGCCCCGCCGGCCGGGCGCGGGGGCGCGGAGAGCCCGGGGGCGCCGGGAACAAAGGAGAGGAGCGCGCGCGGGGCCGAGGGGCCACCGGCCCGGGTGGCGGCGCCGCGGGGCCGGGCGCGGGGGGACGGGGCGGCGGGCCCCGGCCCTCAAAGCCTCCTTTCTTCTCTCGCGCTCGGAGGCGGCCCCGGCAGGTCCGGGAGGGGGCGCCGCTCGCCGTCCCCGCCGGCCGGGGCGCGCCCTCCCTCCCTCCGCCGCCAGCCCCACCCCGAGAAGCGCACAAAGAGCGGCGGGCGGCGGGCGGCGGGCGGCGGGCGGCGGGCGGCGGGCGGCGGGCGCACACCTCCCGGCGGGGCGGGGCGGGGCCGGACCGCGGGCGGGGCCGGGGCGCGCTCCGTCCGCTCCCGCCTTAAAGGGCCCGCCCGTTCCCCGCGCGCACCGCGCATGCCCGACCGCGGGGCGGGGAGGGACGGGCCGGCGGCGCGCGCACGCCCTCGCTGCCCGCGGGAGCCATGGCCGGCGTCCCCGCGGTGGCGGCGCGGCGCTCGTGCACGTGCCAGCGCCCGCGGGGGCTCGGCCGGCGCGCGGGGCGAGGGCAGGGTCCCCGCGCCGCGCGCTCCGGGGGTCGGGGGTCGCGGGCCGCAGGGGCGGGGGGGGGCGGCCCCGCGCCGCGGCGGCTGCCTGCTGGCCGAGTCGCAGTGTCGGGGCCGGGCGGACCGAGCGCCGCCCGCGGGGCGCGGGGCGCGGGGCGCGGGGCTGCGGGCGCGCGCGCCGGGAGCGATGCGGGCGGGCCTGTGCCTTTGTGTCGCCTGCGCTCCCGCGCAGGTGGGCAACCCGCGCCAGGAGCCGCTGTGCCCGAGCGCAACGGGACCTCGAGTCCCACTCCCCGCGTCCGGCCGCTCGGACCGCCCTGCGGGGCAGACAATAGACCCTCCTCCCAGCGGCACCGAGGGCTCCCGGGGCGGTCTATCTGGAGACGCTAACGGGACTTTCTCAGGACCGTTCGCTTCGGGCCGGGCCGCCGGCCGCAGAGTTGGGCGCGTCTCCTGGTCTCAGTCAGGCGGGGGGGCAGAGCTGGGGCCAGGCCGTCCTCGGCCGGTAGGTGCGCGCGAGGGTCCCGAGCCTGCCGGTCCCGCATTCGACAACAAAGAGAGGCGTTCGCGGCGGCGGGGGAGGGGCGCGGCCGGGCGGAGAGCGGGGCGGGCTGCGGCGGGCGCGGGCGCGGGGGCGGGGGCGGGGGGCGCTCGCTCCCGGCTCGCCCCGACCGCGGCCTCCGCCCGCCCCCGGCCCGGCGCGCGCCAATCGCCTCCCCCAGCGATAGTGTCAGTAGCATTGTAGTGTCAGCTCCCGCCGGTGACGTTGCGCCTCCCTCGTCCCCCTCCGGAGCCGTCTGGCTGCAGAGGCTCAGTCAAGAGGCGGGGAGGAGAGGAGGAAAAAGCGCTGAGTGAGGGCGGGCGGGCGGGCGGGCGGGCGGGAGGGAGGAGAGGAGCCGGGGAGGGGCTCCTTAAAGAAACGCTGCTGTCGCTCGCCTGCTCGCTCCTCGCTCGGCATTGTGGCCAGCCTGCCGGGCACTCGGGGGGCACGCGCGGCTGCCGCTCGAGCTTTGCCCCCGCCCCACCCGCCGGCAGACCTGGGGTGGGGACCCAGGCGGGGGCTCCCGCGGCCACTGCCCGGCGCGGACCGCTCCGAGCGACCCAGTCCTCCCGGCGCCGAGAAAGGAGCCACGGAGCCCGCGGCAGCCGGCCGGCCTCCCCGCCCCTGACCGCTCGCTTCCCGGCTGCCTTTGTGGCCGCAGCTTCTGGCCGCCGAGCCGAGGGCCGGCGGGGGCGCGGCGCGCACGGCCGAGCGATGCCCAGCTCCCTGTTTGCAGACCTGGAGCGCCACGGCAGCGGCGGCGGAGGGGGAGGCGGCGGCGGCGGCGGCGGCGGCGGCGGGAGCGGCGGCGGCGGCGGCGGCGGCGGCGGCGAGACCCTGGATGACCAAAGAGCCCTGCAGCTCGCGCTCGACCAGCTCTCCCTGCTGGGGCTGGACAGTGACGAGGGCGCCTCTCTGTACGACAGCGAGCCGCGCAAGAAGAGCGTGAACATGACCGAGTGCGTACCGGTGCCCAGTTCCGAGCACGTCGCCGAGATCGTGGGGCGCCAAGGTGGGTCCGGCGGAGACGGGGAGCTCGAGGGGCAGAGGGTCTCGGGCCACCGCCCCGCGGGAAGGGCGCGGGAGGGCTCGGGATCCGCGGCGCCCGCGAGCTCGAGGAGAGAGGAAGAGCCGCGCGAGGGGCCGGCGCCCCAGACAAAGAAAGTGCAGGCAGGCTGTCTCCCGGAGCCGCGCCGCTGCCTCGGCGGGATGCGCTCCATCCTGCTAAAATCACTGCCTTCTCCCCTAGCGCCCCCCACCTAGCCCACCCCGGGAAATAGAATTTAAGTACAAGATGCTTGGGGGAGGGGGCCTTTGATCGGTCCTCTGGGAGGGGGAGGAGGAGGAGGGAGCATCGGATGGGAGGAGGATTCTGGATTTCTGCAGAGCGGAATGGAGCCCAGAGGAGGAACAATGGGTCCCGGGACTGCCCCCACCCCTCCATCAGTCCCCCAGTTCTGGGGCAGCGCGGCTTCGGCCGTCGTCCCCGAACCCCTCCGCCGCGTCTCCAGGGCGGACGGCGCGCCCCGCTGGATCCTAGCAGCATCTCCCCAGCTGACTTTTTCTGGGATTCTCGGGTTTGCTCGGGACGACTGCAGTCACTGGGGGAGGGCCGGGCAGCCAATGGGCTGTTCCTCGAGCGCCTCGCGGGGGGAACCCGTTTCCCGGCCCGTGGCGTGGCCCGGGGTCAGGGAGGGAGCCGCCCCCTTTCCGCCCAAAGCGTGTCCTGCCGTCGCGCAGCCCTGGCCGCGGGCGGTCCCGGGTCCCCGCGGTTACCCCGGGATAATGGGCGTGTCTGTCTCTCTCTTTCTCTCTCTCTCCCACTCCACCCCCCTCCCACCCCCCACCCCCGCCCTGGCTCCCAGGTTGTAAAATCAAAGCGCTGCGGGCGAAGACCAATACTTACATCAAGACCCCGGTTCGCGGGGAGGAGCCTGTCTTTGTTGTGACGGGCAGGAAGGAGGATGTGGCCATGGCTCGGAGAGAGATCATCTCTGCGGCGGAGCACTTCTCCATGATCCGCGCCTCGCGGAATAAGAACACGGCGCTCAACGGCGCAGTGCCCGGGCCGCCCAACCTGCCCGGACAGACCACCATCCAGGTGCGGGTGCCCTACCGCGTGGTGGGGCTCGTGGTGGGGCCCAAGGGCGCGACGATCAAGCGCATCCAACAACAGACGCACACGTACATCGTGACGCCCAGCCGCGACAAGGAGCCGGTGTTCGAGGTGACCGGCATGCCCGAGAACGTGGACCGGGCTCGCGAGGAAATAGAGGCGCATATCGCCCTGCGCACCGGCGGCATCATTGAGCTCACAGACGAAAACGACTTTCACGCCAACGGCACGGACGTGGGCTTCGATCTGCACCACGGGTCCGGCGGGTCCGGCCCCGGCAGCCTCTGGAGCAAGCCCACCCCCAGCATCACGCCCACCCCCGGCCGCAAGCCTTTCTCCAGCTACCGCAACGACAGCTCCAGCTCGCTCGGCAGCGCCTCCACAGACTCTTACTTCGGCGGGGGGACCGGCGGCAGCGCAGCCGCCACCCCGCGCCTGGCGGACTACAGCCCCCCCAGCCCCGCGCTCAGCTTCGCGCACAACGGCAACAACAACAACAACGGCAACGGATACACGTACGCGGCGGGGGAGGCCCCCGTGCCTTCCCCCGACGGCTGCCCGGAGCTGCAGCCCACCTTCGACCCGGCTCCCGCTCCCCCGCCCGGGGCGCCCCTGCTCTGGGCGCAGTTCGAGCGCTCCCCTGGCGGCGGCCCCGCGGCGCCCGCGTCCTCGTCCTGCTCCTCGTCCGCGTCTTCGTCCGCGTCGTCCTCCTCCGTGGTCTTCCCCGGGGGCGGCGCCGGCGCGCCCTCCAATGCCAACCTGGGGCTGCTGGTGCACCGGCGGCTGCACCCGGGCGCCAGCTGCCCGCGCCTGTCCCCGCCCCTGCACATGGCCCCGGGGGCGGGCGAGCACCACCTGGCCCGCCGCGTGCGCAGCGACCCGGGCGGCGGGGGCCTGACCTACGCCGCCTATGCCAACGGGCTGGGGGCGCAGCTGCCCGGGCTGCAGCCGTCGGACACCTCGGGCTCCTCGTCGTCGTCCAGCTCCTCCTCCAGCTCCTCCTCCTCGTCGTCGGGGTTGCGGCGGAAGGGCAGCCGCGACTGCTCCGTGTGCTTCGAGAGCGAGGTGATCGCCGCGCTGGTGCCCTGCGGCCACAACCTCTTCTGCATGGAGTGCGCCAACCGCATCTGCGAGAAGAGCGAGCCCGAGTGCCCCGTCTGCCACACCGCGGTCACTCAGGCCATCCGCATCTTTTCCTGAAGGCAGCGCGCGTGCGCGCACCCGGCGGGGGCGGGGGGCCCCTCCCCTGCGGCCTCGGCGTCCTCCCCCAGCCCCCCAGCCCCCCTGCCCGCCGCCTTGGTGCCCCACTTTCTCCCCACCCCCACCCCGCCCTCCACCCCCACCCCCCACCCCCGCCCACACTCTGAGATCCGAGAGGAGCTTGGAAAGCTGTAGTATCCGCTCGTTTTTTTTTTTTTTTTAAAGTAATTTTTAAACAAAGGAACTTGCCAGGATATCTGCATCCAGAGTCCTATAGCCTGGGAAACCCCCGAACCACCTGAAATGCATGCTCTATAAATAATAGGAACGGCGACATTCTAGTAATGATAGTTTTTACACTGTACTTCATAGGAGGCTTCCAAAAGAAGAAAAACCCCACAAAGTTTTCCATTTTCTTTAAGTAGGAAAAAAATGAACAATAATGATTATGATGAAGATGATAATAATAGTGCTTATGGGATGTGTGGACTGTTTTAGTGTGTTCCCCTCTGTGGCTGGGTTCCTACGATGCTTATTATAGAACACAGTGGATCCTTTCTGAATGTTTGGAAGGGCCAGGAGTACCTGTGAAACCAGGATACTGCAGCTTTATAAAAGTTAAACAAACTGTAACATATCTCTTATATATTAAAAAACGTTTAAAAGTTTTAAAAGAGAAATTGCATTAATACAGATTGAAGTATTTTATTCTTTTTTGACTTGAAAAATTATATTTCATATTGCAAAGATGTTTACAAGTATTTTAATTTAAGTTCAGTGAACTTTTTTGTAGCTGGGTTAAATCTTTTTATTTTAGTATGGCCTTATGGCAAAGAACACTGTATTATTTTAATAACCACACAATCGTGACGGAATTACAAAACCATAAAATGTGTAATGTTTTGAACAGTATTCTGTTGGGATGGAGATTTTATAGGTTCAGACAAATCTTCTAGAAATGCTTCACCCAGCATATTTTCTATTCAGTGATATAAAGCATATTTTATTCTATATTATTACAAAAAAAAAAACGGAAATGTATAAACATGTCAAAAGGAACTGTTGATGCTTTCTAACATTTGTATAAATAGAATTCAGTGCAAGCTACAAAAATTCTGTTGGGCCACTATAGTTTTAGTATTTCTATTTTAATACATTTGTTTACCACTTGTTTATGTATATGTAGGTGACGTTACTTGAGCTTAAATGTACTTTACTGAGCAAAGTTTAAAAAACAAAGTATATTTTATTTTATGATAAAGGGCCTTTAACCTCATGGTCAAATACTAATATTATATTTGCTGAGACAAGATTTGAAATTGTATCAAGAGTTTTATTTTTCTGACATTTAAAGTTCTACATAATAAAGGTAAAAACTTAAGTAATGGTGCTACTTCATTTTTTAAGTATTTCTATATAAATAAAATATTGAAGAAAATCTATCTTGTGTGGTGAGTTGGTTTTTTGTTTTGTTTTGTTTTAAGCGCCTTGGAGTACACCTGTGTAAATCACTCTTAAGTGACAAGTGAAAATGTGTACATTCCAGGCATGTTATGTCAGTATTTTATCAATAGAATGGGCTTTCGGAATAGGCCAGAGCTGTGCTGAGCTGGATGTACAGACCACGGGTAACAGTATTTTGTAAGAATTGCAAGTTCCTTCTAATCAGGGCTTGCTTTTCCCTGAGACGTGGTGGCCATGGAGCCTAGGGCCCCTGACACCTTCAGGGGGCCCCAGGAAAACGTTTAATTTCTTTTCAAATTAGAAGAAAGAAACCCCCAAAGGAAATGAAATTATTCAAAGGGAATGTTTTAATTTTCAGGTCCACAAGAACCTATTAATTAAAATTTGCCTGAAATGCTAAGAAAATAAAATATGAAAGTATTTAAAGTTCTATCAAAAGTAAATTTTAATGTTGGTATTATTATGCAGGAAGAAGCCTGCCAAAGCAAAAGTGCCTGGAGTCCAGCAAAGTTAGAATCCCACCCAGCGGGGCCCCTGGGGTGGGGTAGAGGGGGCCTAAGGGCTGTGCCTGCTGGTGTAGGTTTCCGCTGAGGGTCACTTCCCTGGGAGAAGCCACCCAGTGACAGTTTCTGCTCGCAGAGGACCTAGCTGGATTTCAGGACCCGTCTGTCTTAAGAGGCTTCTGCTGGGAAGGCAGGCTAATTGGTGTTGACAGGCTGAGGGCGTTAACTATTTGTTGTTGTTTGAGAGAAGTTTTTGTTTGCTTTTGGCAGGCTACACCTGCTCCCTGGCTGTGGGGTTTTGTCAAGCGATGGAGCCCTGTGCTTTCACTTGACCTGAACTCTTGTCTTCTAGAGAGTATTTAGAAATTGATCAGACCATGCCACTGAATTTCCAGCAAACTTTCCAGCTGAGCTGCCCCTGGGGAATGGTGTCTGCCCAGATTGTGGCAGGCTTTTGTTTTAATCTGTGCTGATGGGTAACATTCAGCAGGTGAGTCCAAACAGTGGGCTACAGTATATATTGGTGGTGGTTCCTCTTTTCCCTTTGTATTAATGTTTATTTGTCCAGAAATTGAGTCACATCATAGCTCCTGATTGGTTTGGTTTAAATGCTGCCGTGTGAAGGCAAGAGGCTGGAATCTGGAGTGGGAAGGGAAAAAGGAGTGGCCCGGCTTGGGAAATTTCTGGCATCGTCTCCAACTCTGGAACGTTCCCAGTCGGCGTTTACCTCCTCTCTTCTCCCTCAAGGACTGGAGGTTGGCCGAGGCCTGGCAAACAGCAATATTCTAGTCCAATTCCACCTTTCCTGCTAGCTGTTCGGAAATGCCTAGAACAGAACCAAGATTCTTTTTACACTTACTTCTTTACCAGTGTAACTTTGCTTTTCTGCTTTGGCAGAATGATTACACAGAAGGCAAACAAAACCCAAAAGCCTTGCCTGAGCTTCTTATGGGCTCTTACATGTAGAGGTATCTTGTGGTCCATATACTGCTTTGGAAAAAAAAAGATCTTGAGGCTGCTAACATCCCCTTGGATGGCCTATATTTCTTTGCGGTGAGAAGCTCCCTTTGTTGACATGAAGTTTGGGGATGTATTATTAATAAATGTTGGTTTCTTAAGAGAAAGAGCTTTCTCTCTTTTAGACCATTGGTTTCCCCTGCAGGGCAGGCCCTTGTCACCAGCACAGGTTGTGGAAAATGCTCATGGTATCAGATGGCGTTAGCATTTGATCCAAGGCAAGCCCTCTGTCCCATTCCCCAGATACCCTGAATGACAACCCCATGTGGAGGTGGTCACTGGGCGTGGAGGTGACAGTCCTCCCGCTGGAGAGGTGAGAGATGCCCCGTTCATGCCCTGAGACTGGCAGCGCCTTCCCTTTCTGCTTTTATACCCCTCTGAAATCTTTCAGCAACAAAAAGCCAGCAAACAGACATCTCTCCCCGCTCCCATTTGTGTACACTAATTGTACGAAATCACGGGGGTGATTTTGCACTCTCCCCAAATTTAGGCAGTCTCTGGGGACATTTTTGGGTATGACACCTGGGGTTACTCCTCTTGGCATCTAGGGAGTAGTGTCCAGGGATGCTGTTAGATGTCTTACAAGGCACAGGATGGAATTAATGTGGCTCAGGGTGTGAGAAACCCTGATGTAGACAAAGCAAATGTATCTTCCCTGCTGTTTATTCACTGCCTTGAAATTGGTGATATTCTATGCTGAGTGAAGTAAGTCAGTCGGAGAAGGACAAATATTATATGATCTCACTCATACGGGGAATATAAGAAATAGTGAAAGGGATTATAGGGGAAAGGAGGGAAAATGAGTGGGAAAAAAGAGAGAGGGTGACAAACCATGAGAGACTCCTAGCTCTGGGAACTGAACAAGGGGTGGTGGAAGGGGAGATGGCCGGGGGGGGGGGGGATGGGGTGACTGGGTGACGGGCACTGAGGGGGGCACTTGACAGGATGAGCACTGGGTGATATGCTATATGTTGGCAAATTGAACTCCAATAAAAAAATATACAACCCCCCCAAAAAAAAACGAAACAAAAAGAAATTGGTGATATTCTTCTGATGTTTAAATGCATAAAGATTGACCCTCAGCCGTCTTCTGGTGGGATTATCTACTAGCCAGGGTAGCTCCAGTGATATCAGGAATATGGGGAGGGGGGCGGCGGGAGGAGCACAGCTGACGCCTGAGCTCTGGGGAGCAGAATTCAAGAACTCCTTTATGCACCAAACAGGGTTAGTTTGCACCCGATCGATGAGCAATACCGCTTGCATGGAATGTTCACAGCACTTTCTGTCCCGTTCTCTGCCGTGATCCTTCCCACGGCCGTGCAGGAGGCACCACTGACAGCTTACTGTGCCTATTTGTGGGAAAATGCAAATACTCGCAATGCGGTCCGAATGAATGCAAACCTGGCTTTTCTCAGGCTTGTGCTCCTTCTGCTTCGTCAGGGCGAAACCAGGTTCTGGAGAATTCTGGGAATGGATTCGGTGCCAGCAGCCTTTCCCTTTTCCCTGTTTCCTGCGTCTGCCGTATCCTACCACAATTGGCTCTTGAGAAAAGCCTCGTTATCTTCAGTGGCCTTCAGATATGAGGCAGGCCAGTGCTTTTATCTCTTAAGCCTTATCTTTCCAAGAAGTGTGGACAAATTTGCCCCCTCTCACGGGGGTCTTGAGCCTGCAGGCCAGTGTGGTGCTGGTAGTAGCGGCCCTTAAAGCTCAATGGAGAACAAGGTAACTTGGGAAGAGGTGGAATTTGTATCAGTGTCGATGACTCTGACCTTGAGAAGGTCATTCCCGAGTAGTTAGGGAACACGGGCCCTTCTAATGCGGAGTACTGCCCACCATTTGCCTTCCTCCCTCCCCTGATCCAATGGAAACCTGACTGTGCCCCCACTGATGATGCTTCAAGTGGTAAAGGTTATCCCCCCCCATATGGCTCTGCTCCCCCTACTTTCCAGGAAAAGGAAACTGGGGAGGAGGAGTTAAGCATCCCTTATGTGCTAGCGACAGTTTATTGGGCCATCGCTGTGCCCACCCAGCCCAACAGGGTGACTATGAGTAAACCCATTTCAAAGATAAAAAGACTGAGTTGTTGAGAAGTTAAATGACCTACCTAAGACCACATAGTCATAAGCACTGGACTAGGATTCCACATGAATCCAAAGCCTCTATCTTTACCGGTTCAGAAAAAATGGCTTTTATAGGAGGTATTTTCAGAAAGAGTGAGCACTCATTCATCACACAATGGTCAAGCAAGGGGATGATGGTTCTTTCTTATTGATAAGTGTAGTTGATTTGGAAAGTGGAGCAAGGGCCTCACAGCTCTCAGGACTCCTGGCCATGTGCCCGTGCTGCTGATGGGAAGTGAGAACACGAATAGCGCCGTAGAAGCACACGGACCTTTCTGTGCCAAAGCCTTGTGATCTCTTGGCTGTTTTGTGACCAGCTGAACAGTGAACATTAAGCTCATTCTATAACATATTCTTCCCAGGTGCACACACACACACAAAATTTGATGAGGATAAAATGAATACAGAATACTTAAAAAAAAAACTCCTTAAAAATGTCAACTGAACTAACTTAGTGACAAAAAAGATGCCAAATCCCTGACTGAAAAGTAAAATGTAATCAATCCATTGTTTAGTCTCTAGGATGCGAAGCTCTTTTTCTGTTTTCTCCCATTGGCTTCATTACCTTGGGCATTCATCTGGAGCACATGTCTTCATGGGAGGTGTGGGTGGAAGACATGATGGGTCTGTGACTCAGTTTCCTCATCTGAGGGGAAGAGTGATGGCTCACATCATTCTGGAAGTGTCAGTCATGTTGAGCCCCTCTTTTGGGTTTAAGGACACCTTGTGCCTCCTTCTATGGCAGCACCGGCTGGTGTTTCTCACAGGTTTTTTTTTTTTTTCCACAGTTGTTTGTTTATTGGTCTTTCTGTTCCACTAGGCTGAGTATGCCTCAAGGGCAGGGGTTTCATCCTTCCATCTCTGAGCCCCCAACACCTGACACAGAGCCCACAAGGGCACTCAGTAAGTATCTGGAAAATTAGTGAGAAAAGGCTATTTTACTTGAAATAACCTACATGCCCATCACTAGGAGATTTGTTTATTAAGCTCTATAACCTACACAGAGTGGAATTCTAGATTTTATAATAAACAGAATCATCACCTTGATGTCTGTAGAGGAGAAACCCAAAAGACAGGCTTTTTGTGAAAGCAAAGTTTTGCATGCATAGAAAAGTTTCTGAGGCTATCGTGATAGGCACCCTTCAAGCTAGCCCTCTGTGATCCCCACCTCTCGATAATCACCCCCTGGGTAATCCCTCTCCTCAAGTGAGGGTTGGACTTTGTGACTTGCTTCTTCTTCTTCTTTTTAAAAAAGATTTTATTTATTTATTCATGAGAGACAC